GGCTCTTCATGATATGACCTCTAGCCTCCTTTCCAGTTGACAGCTCCACCACTGTCAACAGTTGAAGATACTATTCCACTATCTGTTGGCTTCTGTTGTTGGTTTGGTAGGTCAGGTACCCAGAATAATTGCACTTTTTTTTGTAGGTGGTATTTGCTTTCTAGCTACTTTTAAGAGGTGTGTGTGTGTTTAATAAACCTGTGTGTTAGAGTTTCACTGTGATATATCTAAGTGTAGATTTTATTTATCCTGCTTGGCCTTAACTTTGAGGATTGGCATCTTTCAACAATTATGGAAACATCTCAGCCCTTATCACTTATTTTTGTCTCTCATTATAGGATGCATTTTTGGACCTTCTCATTCTCCATGTTTTTTTTTTTTTCCCCAAGTGCAGTACTGTGAAAGGATATAAATAGTCCAAATGTCCAATAGGGGATTAAATAAATTATATTTCAGCCATAAAAACAGACTAACAGACCAATAAAAATGATGTAGAGGAGTATGTAATGACATGGAAAGATATTCACAATACATTAAGTGAAAAAAGCAAGTTCCAAAACTGCATGTATGAGTCCATTTTTGTAATATGTGTATTTATAATATGTATATTTGCCAAAGTAGAGGACACATGATATTTACCAAAATATTGATGTTAGTTACTTGGATACCATAGGATAATGGGTTGTTTTGTTAGAGTTCTTTTCAGGGAAGACATTTGGGATTTTAATTTTCTGTAATGAAGATTACTTTTAGAATAGGGAGAGGGAGATACTAAATTTAAATTAGCCCAAAGATGCCCCCACAGTTCATTTTGAGTTCATTCTGGTGTTAACAAAAATTCAACTGGGTGGGGGCGCCTGGGTGGCTCAGTCAGTTAAGCGACCAACTCTTAACTCTTGGTTTCAGCTCAGGTAGTGATCTCAGGTTCATGAGATTGAGCCTCATGTCAGGCGCTGTGCTTAAGGTGGAGTCTGCTTGGGACTCTCTCCCTCTTCCTCTGCCCCTCCCCCCTGCTTGTTTTCTCTCTTTCTCTCTCTAAAATAAATAATTAAAAAAAAAAATTCACCTGGGAGAACTTGAAGATCTAATTGGCCTTATTAATTGATTCATGAATTGGAAATCATCCCATCTACCAAGTAGAGGGGAGTTCAGAGGAGCTGTACAAAATGGAAGGATTTTATAGGCAGAAACAGGGCAGGACAATTAGCAAAAGAAAAGAAAAGATAGTTTCAGGCAAGGCCACCTTCCCTTAAATGAAAGGTCTTTTGAGGATGGATTACCTTATTTTCCTTTGGTTGAGGGAGGGGGATGGAGAGGGCCATGTGACAGATTACCTCATTGATGCTGACCCTAAAATTCCAGATTGGTTAAAAGTACATTTCTGGAAGTGGCTGCAACTTTAATTAGGTTAGGTTCCTGGTTTTGGTGACTTGTCCTAGCATATGTAACTCCATTTTGGGCCTGTGGTTTTCTTTTTAGCATTGGCAAAGTAAATATTTCTGGGAAATTACTTAAAACTTTGGGTGCCCTTCACTCTTCCTTGTAAGTATAATATTCAGTAGCAATTGTTGATACTGAAACAAAAATACTCAAGTAAATTTTGCCAAGGAGAATAGATGAGAAAATATAAATTCTCATTAAAAAATTACTAAGATGACACCAAGTTACCTTACAGCTTTTTATAAAGACTGGGAACTAGAAGTTGTAGTCTTCTGCTTCATGTGTTTCAATACTCAGTCTGTTCTGTTTTATTCATTTGTGTAGAAGGTCTCTACACAGGATGGTGGATGATATTCTTGGTTCCCATAGTATAACAGGAAACTTGACATTTCACTTAAAAAGATAAAATAACATTTGCTGTCAGATTATAAAATTCCTTTTCTAGAAGATACTCTAATATTTGAAGATATGCTTTGAAAAAATATAAAATGAAATATACCATTTTATTTCAAGATCAGTAAGTCTATGTCGAACTTAAATGAATTCCAGTAAAACTCTAACTCAAAGAAAAATCTAACCTTAACAAAAAGTTCCAGTAACAGATTATTTTAGCAAGCAAAATGAGCAGTGCATGTGGCTGTTAATGGGCACCATGTTTAATAGAATGGACATTAGCTTTTGCATTACTATTTAATTGTCCACTTATGTTAAAAGTATTGCTTTAAGCTGTGAATGTTTTGCCAAAGAAAAACGTAAATTTTTTTTTTTAAGAATTTTATTTTCTTTCTCCAGGTAGGAAGGATACAAGTTAAAAATTTTACCAACAAAACTTTAAAAAAATGTGTTTTTGAAGATTTTACTTATTCGTTAGAGCGTGAGCACAAGCAGAGGGAGAAGCAGGCGCCCCGCTGAGCAAGGAGCCATGTGAGACTCAGTCCCAGGACCCTGGGATCATGACCTGAGCCAAAAGGCAGACTCTTAACTGACCGAGCCACCCAGTCGTCCCTAAAATTTTTTAATAAATACATCAAAAACTAAAATCTAGCTAGGCTGTTATGCAAGATATTATGTGTGAAGACAAACTGATGAATGAAGGCAAATTTCATTCAAAATGAACTCTACCCATATTAAAAGGGCAGACAATCAGCTGCTTGCTTAAATTATAATAGTACTATGATTCAGTATGAAAATAAGGAACTGTCTGCAAATCTGTGACAGTAATAAATCAAAATATAAATGTATATAGGAGTCAAACAGAGCAACAAATTCTAATTAAAAACATTTTAATATCGGGCGCCTGGGTGGCTCAGATGGCTAAGCGTCTGCCTTTGGCTCAGGTCATGATCTCAGGGTCCTGGGATCGTGTCTCGCATCGGGCTCCCTGCTCCTTGGGAGCCTGCTTCTCTCTCTGCCTCTCTCTCTCTCTCTCTCTGTCTCTCATGAATAAATAAATAAAATTAAAAAAAAAACAACAACATTTTAATATCTTGAAAATCAATTTTTCTTTAAAATCATGAAAAAGATGCTCATGTTAGTTAATAATTGACTCTAAACCTCAGTTAAACATTAGGAAGCTACGTTAATGTGACTTAGTATACAGAAAGGAATCTTTCAGAATACGGAAATGAGAACGAAATGAATTTTATTTATTTATTTATTTTTAAAGATTTTATTTATTTGTCAGAGAGCACAAGCAAGGGGAGTAGCAGGCTCCCTGCTGAGCAGGGAGCCCAATGCGGGACTTGCATGACCTGAGCCAAAGATAGACGCTTAACTCACTGAATCACCCAGGCATCCCAGAACGAAATGAATTTTAGAATATTTTTGTAACCTGCCCCCCCCCCAAAAAAAGCAAAAAACAAGTCTGTACCCATTAACAGTCATTCCCCATTCCTCACAGTTCTACCCCCAATCCCTGGGCATCCACCAACCTTCTGTCTTTCTGTATAGAATCATCTATTTTGGATTTCATGTAAATGGAATCCTACAATGTGTTGTCTTTTGTGACTTTAATTTAGCAGTTTTCAAGTTTCATCCATATTAAAGTGTGTGTCAGTGTTTTTCTCCTGTTATTGCTGGATAATATTATATGGATCAACAACATTCTATTAATCTATCAGATAATGGATATTAGAGTTGTTTTCACTTCCTGTTATTATGGATATTGCAGCTATAAACATTGATATACAGGCTTTTGGCTGGACATGTTTCATTTCCCTTGTGTGTATACCTAGGACTGGGATTGGGTCATGTGGTAGATCTGTGTTAAACCTTTTGAAGAACTTTCAGACTGTTTTTCAGAGCATCATTTTACATTCCCACTAGCAATGTAGGAGGATTTTAATTTCTTCATGTTCTGGCCAACACCTTTTTTACTCCCCGCCCCCCCCAAACAAAAAACAAGCAAAACCTCTGTTTTATTCTTACCAAGTGGATACCATTCTTCTAAATATTCTTATTACAGGCGTTTATAAACACTTACTAATTGTATCACAAAAGAGTTATCATATCCAGTCCCTGAAATAACACTCTTCTCAAAGTTTCCTGCATGTACAACTTCTTTTTCCTCCCCCCCAGCTTTATTGAGATCAAATTGATGCATTAACATTGTATAAATTTACAGTGTACAATGGCCAACACTTGTTATTTTTGATTATAGTCATCTAATGGGTGTGAAGTGCTGTTTCATCATGGTTATGATTTGTATTTCGCTGGTGGCCAGGGAGGTGGAGCATCTTTCCATGTGGTACTGGCTATTTGTATATATTTTGGAGAGCAGTGTCTGTTCAGATACTTTGCCTATGTTTAAATTGGATTACTTGTCTTTTTATTATTGAATTGTAAGAGTTCTTTATATGTACAAGTCCCTGATCAGATTTGCAATTTTTTTTTTCTTGTTCTATGGGTTGTCTTTTTACTTTCCTCATGTTGTCCTTTGCAGGAAAAAAAGTTTAAAAATAAATTTTGATGAAGTCCAGTGTATCTAAGTTTTCTATTGTTGCTTGCGCATTTTTGTAGTCACAGTTGCAAGATCCATTCAGATAGTCTAATTTCTCATATGGTCAGAATTGGATCTTTTTTTTATTTTTTTTTAAAGATTTTATTTATTTTTTGACAGAGAGAGAGACAGCGAGAGAGGGAACACAAGCAGGGGGAGTGGGAGAGGGAGAAGCAGGCTTCCCGCTGAGCAAGGAGCCCGATGTGGGGCTCGATCCCAGGACCCTGGGATCATGACCTGAGCCGAAGGCAGACGCTTAACGACTGAGCCACCCAGGTGCCCCGGTCAGAATTGGATCTTACAGCATCATATGATTAATACAGTTGTGATTACTGTGTGTACATATAGTAGTTTTGTTTTTATCTTCTTAACATTTTTATGTATAAATTTCCTTCTATTGATATTGCTCATGCTTCCTTTTTTAAGAGTTGTGTCATGTTTTGTGGTTGTATTATAATTCACATAGTCATCCTCTTGCTTGTTTTTCAAATTCATGATTTAAATAGTGCTGGTTAGTAGCCATATCCATCAACTCAAAAGTTACCTTGTTTTCTTTCCTTAGGTAGGATTAACCTAAAACAGTTGATGGCAAAGAAGATACAGTTGACAGCAGAGGCAGAGGTAAGTAGCTTCCTTTCAAGAAACAAGAATGTAGAGTTAGGGTAAGGAATTTTGTTTAGTAAAAAAAAAAAAAAATTAAGATTTTATTTATTTGTCAGAGAGAGAGAAAAGCAGGGGGAGCGGCAGGCAGAGGGAGAAGCAGGCTCCCTGCTGAGCAAGGAGCCGGATGTGGGACTTGATCACAGGACGCTGAGGTCATGACCTGAGCTGAAGGCAGCCGGTTAACCAGCTGAGCCACCCAGGTGTCCCTGTTTAGTAAAATTTTTAATGCTCAGTTTCTTAAAGAATAATTTACCGTTCTTATCGGTTGACACTGTCCTGCCACTTTGTCATCCTACATTTAAGAATCACATTGCTTTTTTCTCTCCCATCCCGTCCACCACTCTCATTTTCTGGCTTTTATTTTTATTTTTTTAAAAAGATTTTTTATCTATTTGGGAGCGAGAGAGAGCAAGAGAGAACATGAACGGGGCGGGTGGTGGAGCAGATGGAGTGGGAGAAGCAGACTCCCCGCCAAGCAGAAAGCCTGATGTGGGGCTTGATCCCAGGACCCTGGGACCATTACCCCTGAGCCGAAGGCAGACACTTAACTGACTGAGCCACCCAGGTGTCCTTTATTTTCTGGCTTGTACCAGCAGAATTCGGTTTTAGTGAACCTTGATATAGTTGAATGTCTGTGCAAGTGCCTTATGAAAGGTTCTATCACCTGTCGTGGTTCATAGTGAATAATGGCTCAGTAGTAAATCTAAAGTAGATCCCTGTTGTTAGGGAGGACATGGCTTGAGCAGAAGTATGGAGAGAGGAAACTTAAGACTTATCTCTTGGAAATGCCACTTCACTTGATGGGCATCTCTGCTCCTGTTGGGGCATGACAGAAAGAAAAATACAGTTGGAAAACCGGGGCTAGATTGTTAAGCATTTTTTTCTCTGCCTTTATGCCCTGTTCATAAAGCTCTTTCTCCTTGAAACTTGAACTTCCTGTTTCACCAGTCAAAATACTGCATATCCATCAAGTTCTAGCTCAAATGCTGCTGCTTCTACAATTTGCTAAATTTCAGCTTGAAATGATGTCCTTCCTTCCTCTTTTATACTTCTAAGAACTTAGCATATACTCTTAGTATATACTCTGTATTTATTACACAGTGCTTCTGTGTATAATAAATTCTTGTGAACTTACAGGTGATTTGACTTAGGAATGTTTTAATTGGCAATTTGATATCTAATGAGATTGAACATCTTGCCATTGTTAATTAATTGGAATGTTTTTGAGGGAGATATATTAGGAACGCTATTTTGATAGCAAAGTTGAAGATAAAGTATAGAGTTTGGAGACGAGACAAGATAGGAAGCTGTTGTAATATTTTAGTATTCTAGACAGGGTAAACGGGCAGGGAGGAGAAGAGAACTACACTTAGAAGTCCTATTACGGACTAGGCCATGTACTAGGTGCTTTACATATGTAATTTTATTAAATTATCCCATTTACAAGAGTGATCTCTTAAGTGGTTACATTTCGTTGTTGTTTTATGGGTTGATATTTACTAATGTGAAATGACCATTGAGGTTGACGGGTATGTGAATATTGTTTGGAGCCATGAAATTTACTTGTTCTTTTGTGGGTTTTTAGAAATAATTGTTTTTTAGAGAGGGAGAGGGGCGGGGAGGGTCGGGGGAGAGGGAGAGAGAGAATCTTAAGCAGGCTTTGTGCTGGCAAAGACCCCAAGGCGGGGCTTGATCTTAACACCCTAAGATCATGACTTGAGCTGAGATCAAGAGTTGGTTGCTTAACGGACTGAGCCATCCAGCTGCTCCTAGAAATAATTTTTTTTTTTTAAGATTTTATTTATTTATTTGACAGAGAGAGACACAGCGAGAGAGGGAACACAAGCAGGGGGAGTGGGAGAGGGAGAAGCAGGCTTCCTGCTGAGCAGGGAGCCCTATGTGGGGCTCGATCCCAGGATCCTGGGATCATGACCTGAGCCAAAGACAGATGCTTAACGACTGAGCCACCCAGGCAACACTCCTAGAAATAATTTTTTTTTCTTTAAAGATTTTATTTATTTATTTGACAGAGAGACACAGCGAGAGAGGGAACACAAGCAGGAGGAGTGGGAGAGGGAGAAGCAGGCTTCCCACAGAGCAGGGAGCCTGATGTGGGGCTCGATCCCAGGACCCTGATCATGAACTGAGCCAAAGGTAGATGCTTAACAACTGAGCTACCCAGGCGCCCCCTAGAAATAATTTTTAAAACAAATGAAAATCAATCTAGTCATTTGTAATTTGGAGTCACTCTGAACTAGTTCGCTCAACTACATTGGACCACCTTCCCCTGATCTTTAAGGTGAGAACATGGGACTAGCTATCTCCAGGGTTCTGTTCAGCTCCAATAGTCTATGTCATTGCATAACTAACCTAAACTTTTGCTCCTAATTCACTGTTTTCCTGGTGTAAAGGAAATGGGTAATCTGTAGATTTTATTGGCAACTCTTTCGGCTCCACAGAACTGGAGTTGTCAGATAAAGTACAGTATGTGTAGTTAAATTTGAATTTCAGATAAACAACAAATAATTGTTCAGTCATCATGCAATATTTGAGATATAATTAGACTAAAAAAGTCACTTGTTTATCAAATTCACATTTAACTTTTGTCCTGTATGCTTATTTGCAAAATCTGGCAACCAACAAAGCACTCCCTGAAAGTTGAGATATATAGAAAGAAGAGCTCATATTAACGGTGGAAAAGGTTGTCAAGTATTGAGCAAGCTCTTTAGTCTGAGGGGAAAACAAATGAGAGACGGATGATGAGATCAGTGGGTTGAACTGAGTCTGTTAAGGTCATGTCTAGGTCCAAATGCTATCTCTCATAAAAAAATTTTTTTTTTTTTTTTAAAGGTTTTATTTATTTGACAGAGAGACACAGTGAGAGAGAGGGAACACAAGCAGGGGGAGTGGGAGAGGGAGAAGCAGGCTTCCCCCTGAGCAGGGAGCCTGATGCGGGGCTCGATCCCAGGACCCTGGGACCACGACCTGAGCTGAAGGCAGACGCTTAACGGCTGAGCCACCCAGGCGCCCCTCTCATAAAAAAAATTTTAAATACTGAACTAAAAAAAAAAAAAATCCAGTGCTAGTGGGATTATACACATTGTGTAACCCTTAGTTAGGACCTTTTGAAATCCTTAGAATTGTACTGTAACAAGACTTAAAAGCTCTTGGAACAGTCCAGGGGAGACTCAAGTGATTAAATCCCAACCAATTTATGTTAATAGATAAATAACTTTGTCTTAACATTGTGTTAATGAAACTATTTGAAACAGTTTCTTTGGTTGCAAATAAAAGACACCTACTTCGGCTTATTTAAGTATAAAAGGAAACCTATTTGAAAGATATTAGTGTGGGCGCCTGGGTGGCTCAGTCGTTAAGCGTCTGCCTTCGGCTCAGGTCATGATCCCAGGGTCCTGGGATCGAGTCCCACATCGGGCTCCCTGCTCGGCGGGAAGCCTGCTTCTCTCTCTCCCACTCCCCCTGCTTGTGTTCCTGCTCTCACTATCTCTCTGTCAAATAAATAAATAAAATCTTAAAAAAAAAAAAAAAAAAAGAAAGATATTAGTGTATCTCATAGAATCCCAGAAGTTGAACACTTAAGCTTTGGAAATGGAAACGCTTGAATAGCAAAGAGTTCATGTAGTTTTTTTTTTAAGTTTTTATTTTTTTTAAGATTTTATTTATTTGACAGAGACACAGTGAGAGAGGGAACACAAGCAGGGGGAGTGGGAGAGGGAGAAGCAGGCTTCCTGCAGAGCAAGGAGCCCAATGTGGGGCTTGATCCCAGGACCCTGGGATCATGACCTGAGCCGAAGGCAGACGCTTAACAACTGAGCCACCCAGGCGCCCCAGAGTTCATGTATTTCTGAATTTTTCAGTTAATCAGATTTTCAGTCCCTTGTTTTAAGTTCAGAGTTTCAGATTTATGAGAGAGAGAATTGGATTTTGGCCAGAAGGGCAGGGCCATATCGTACAGCCCTGGCCTAAACAGTGGGTTCCTGTCCTTAACCTTTGAGGGCAGTTTCCAGAGAAAAATGAGTATGAGAAGAGTTAAAAAGGAGTGCCTTGATACTGTGAATATTTGTAGAACTTTTATTAACGCACACAACTTTATAGAGGGAATGCTAGGTCTCATGTGAGGGAGATGAAAAACTACTTCCTATTTCTGTTTCTTAAAAACACAGATTTATTGCAACATATTTCATTTCCTTCTGATGTAGCATTTAAAATCCTATTTTACACATTAGTACCTTATGCTGTTGCCTAACTATTAAATGAGCAAACTGTAATGAGTAAGGTTCAGATGGCATGTCTGCAAATGAGGACTTCTCTTTATGGTTTATTGCTCATCCACGTTAACCTCTTCTAAAAAAGTGTTTGGATGTGCCAATCTATTTGATTTATTGGCAGACTGCTGGAGAGATAAGTCTAGGTCTTTTCTGCCCAGAAATTCTTCGGTTATTGTATACGTTGAGGTTAGGTTGTGCTGTAGTAGATAAACATAAGATGAACACAAATAATCGTGGCTTAAACAATAGACGTATGTTGCCCTTCCATGTAAATGATCTAGAATTGGGAAGTCTAGAACGGTTATGGTGACTCTTGTGGTCCTCCCAGGACCCTGGTCCCTTCTACCTCTGTACTTTACATTTTGTAGGCTGTGATCGTCCTTTTCATTGTCCAGATGACTCCAGCCATTTCATCTGAGTTTCAGGGAGCAGGATTGAGTTAGGAAAAGAAGTGGGTTGACAACTAATAGCCTCTACTACAACTGTCCATTCTACTTTCCTGCCCTTGACATTCTGGTCAAGTCTTCTTTTGGCTGTGTCCGTGTGATTGTATCCTTCTGATATTTCCCTTTCTGCGTTTTCTCATTTTGCCTAAATACATAGATGTATCAGTCTCCAGTCTCCTTCGATGAACCTTGGGAAAATCAGTTTATTGTTCTTTATGATTTC